CTAAGAGAGCGCGAAGTGCCCTCCAGGGGCATAGCTCCCTCATCTTATAACGGGTGGTTTTTCTTTCCTCTATGAGTACACTGCGAAGTGTAAACGCGCACCGAATCGGCACACCCGAAAAAGCTCTCAGGAGGTGCGTCTGATTGTAAATTAATAAGTATTTATTTCAGATTAGGGGGATGAATGTGTCAATGGAAGGGGAGCGTTTTTATTGGCTGGCTGTCGACATGGACGCCCGTCGCTCAAGGAGGGGGGCGGAGAGCGTTGCGGAGGTGGGGTCGAGGGGTGGGGAGCGAAGGGTTCGGAATCCCTGATTTGGAATTCAAGACGAGTGGAATCGCTAATCTGTTTTCAACTAGGAGCTCCGAGTTTCTCAGCGGGATCCCTCGAAAGATAAAGCTGCCGAAATAAGTGAGTCCCAATTATCAGCGACGCAAAGCGCTGATCTCCTTCCGCTCAACACCTTCCCTGCTGGAATTATCGCTCCCTCCACGAGTCGTCGAATCCGAAGGAGAGGAATCGCTAATTTTTGCAGAATCCTCTCACGGTCGGAACGTTTGAAGACATCGAAGTTTCCGTGATTTGAGTTTTATACAAATTTTTACGAAACAGCCAGAAATAGGAGAAAAACAAGGGGTAAAACGAAAAACGAGGCTAAAAGCCTAATGCTGGTTTTTTGGGTTTATATTTTTTTTTGTGTTATGGTGTTTTTTTTCTCAGATCTCAGCCACCAACATGTAGATCTCAGGTTTTTTCTCCGATATTAAATTTTTGGTTTATTTTCCGACTGAAAATGACTCAGGTTTGAGTCGGAACGTCTCGGATATTCAATTGTTGTATTTTAGCCTTGTTTTACGTTCTTTTCTCTTGTTTTTCTTCTGATTTGAGATATCATCTTGATAATTCACTGGGAAAAAAAGTCTATTGGGATCCAGAATCCAGACTCTTAAAAAATGGACAAGAAAAATGCTCTTGATCCAATTGTATTTTTACTCGAATCGAGAGTCAAGCCTTTTAATTTAAGCGGATTTCCTTTTGATTCAAGCAAAAATCCGATTGAATCAAGCGTATTTTTTCTCTTCAAACTTTTTAAGAGGCCAGGCTCTGGATCTGAGAGACTTTTTTTTCCAGCGATTCTATTACTATACTCTGTATCAGTAACCGCCCAAGAAAAAAAGCTCAGTTCATTTGAAGAATTTTTTTTGGTAGCGAGTTTTTTCTACATTCAAGTTGGAAAAAATACATTCGAGTTTCTGACGGAAAACACATTATGTAGATATCAACGGTGAAACGGCGAAAATGCGTAGGAGATGTTTCAAAATTTCGGCTCATATTTAATTTAGTAAAAAGAGACCAGCCAACATGGTGACTTGAACTTCTTACAGAATACTTGACGAACAGAAGAAAAATCGCAGAAATTTTCAAGGAATGACGTTCAACAGTTTATTGTGTAGAAAATGAAGTATGACAGCAGAAAGTCTGTAACGCCGCAAATCGAGGTACACACTTCTGCGATTTCACCATCAAAATAGTCATTTAAAGAAATGAAACGTAAGTTTTTAAGTTCACTTTAAACGCCAATGAATGGCGTAAAGTTGTATTTTCACTCTTAATGTGACAAAACGTGGTTTGTTAAAATTTTAGGTGACTTTTATCAAAGCTAAAAGTAAATTTGAACTAGAAACTTCAATCCGCCATGCCGCGGTTTGGTTTAACCCTTAACAGATCATGGACGTTTATTGCGCTAAAATGTTCGTTAAGAACTCTCCTGGGTAGAAGTGCAAGTATGATGGATCGTGTTCGATACATCAAACAGGGAAGATTGTATCGATATCGATTGGCTCATATATATTTAAACACAGCCTCAAAAGTCAATTTAGAGATCTAAGGTAACGGGTCTTTTGTAATCAAATTTGTATTCTTTCGAGTATCAAGTGGCTATGCAAACTGAAATTGTTCGGAATGAAATGGTTCTCATTTTCAGCTTTTCCAAATGGAATCCTAAAATTTTTGTTTGAGACTATGTTCTATAGTTTTGGAGCAAACGATGCATCGAACCACTATCGAATACGATCTATGCAGGGTTTTTGGTATCGAGGTTATTTATCCCTCGATCAGTCACATAATGATTAAAAATTTTTGAAGGCAATTTTTTTTCTTTATCGAACCTGAAAACACTTGAAGCGAGACTTGAACATCAAAAAGCGACTCTCGCCATATTATGGTCCATCGAATTAAAAATATCTCGCTCTCATGCCCTTAGTGCGGTCGCCATTGAGACACGGTCAATCAAGCGCCTTCAAAACCACGTGGCGACAACCGCGCGTTACCGAACCGTCGTGCGGGTTGCGTCGAGGCGAAGGCGGGCGACTAAGACGAGGGAACAAAACGGAGGACGGAGGCAGGCCCCGACAACGGGCGACAAGCGAGCTCGGGTAGCGAACAGCGATAAGCGGAAGAAACAGTTCAATGAGATAATCCCGGCGAGCTTCTTTATGTTAAGTTAACAAGCCTCCTTATCAGGCTATTAGGAGCCGTGCTTGAGCCTCGGTGTCAGTTTATGAAAGCGGCCCACCGCACCCGCTTCGCCGACCGCCAGTCTTTATTGCGTTTTCAACCCCTCTCCGCCCGCCGGAACACGACCGTGGTCCTCACCCCCTTCGATGCTGCCGCACAAGGGGCTGTTCGCAATTTCCTCCTTTTTTTCGTTGAAGTGCGGGAAGCGGAAGGGGTGGGTATTTAATGGAGAGAATGAAGGCGCTCTTGGCAACTATTTCGACACACAAGTATTGCACGGTATCAGGTAAAAATGAAGGCGCACTATGGTATGTAAATTGACTGGTGTCGTTTACCACCGCGTAGTAGACCTCTACATATCATACGCAGAATCGAACAATATTTCTGTCATTGCCTTTCCGTAAAATTCAAGGCAAAATCGTCCTCTATGGTGCAGTTAGGAAGATACGTCTCTTGAGTTGCTAGGTACGTTCCAAAGTTTTTGCCAAACTTGATTTTGGATTTGGATCTTCAGAACTTCCAGGGAGGGGGAGAAAAATTAATAATGTGAATTTTTTTAAAAAATTATTTTTCTTTTTTACAAACGGACCTTATCTTTCTAAAAAAACTTTGACCCCCCTCCCCCGCGAAAAAATTTCTTCGGGTCCACCCTAATGTCCTCTCATATTAATGTTTTAACCAAGTAACGAAATGAAACATTCTAGCTTGAACGTTTGTGAATATATTATTTGTAAACTGGATGAAATTCATGAAAACTGCACAGGCTATATGCTTTCCAATATTCTATTCGACAAATAAACACAAGAAGGAAATAAGGAATCGCGGAATACAGTCAGGCTGATTCCAGTTTCATTCGTCCGATTTCGTCGCCACTCTTACAGGAACTCGCATCACCACTTTGATTGCACGATTGCATTTTGCAAAAAGGAACCACCAGCATTGCAATGTTGCTAAGATTGTGCAACTTCTTTTGTCTTGGAGGAAAAACCCGATTATCCATCTATATCTATTTTACTCGCTAAAAACTGTAAATTTAAGACAAAAATTACCATCTAAATTTCATAGTTTTTCACAATTTCCACAATTTTATTGCAAAGAATGAAGTTGCACAATCTTAGCATCATTGCAATGCTAGTGGTTCCTTTTTGCAAAATGCAATCCACATGAGCCTCGAAAAGCGTAGAGTCGTACGGAGAACGGGAATTACGTGACGATCGAGATACGTCCTTACTTCCGACCGATTTTTGATGGAGGAAATTTTGTTCTTCGACGAACGGATTTGCACCCTCGTGAGCGGCGGCTCTCATTCAGTTACCGCGCTTGGGGGTGGGGAGGGGGGCGTGAAAGCTTATCACGCATACAAAGTGTCAAATCTTTCACCGTTTTCACGCTTTGTCGCGACTAATCGATTTGCGCTTTATGCGCTTTATTACGGCCGTTTTCCCCCCGATCCCGATACAGCGCTGAGGTTAATAAAAGCGCATTGAGGTAGCATCGACTCGATTGCCTTTCGAAGTCAAGATGCTGGCCGGTAGAACCTCGAAATGCTCGCAGAAATTAATGGCCTCTGCAGATCTCGTTTTCACGTTTTCGTTCTCAGCTGGAATAGCTTGCGGTTCACTGAAAAAAAAACTCCGGCCGTGGAAGCCGAACTTACGAGCTACACATATAGACGCACCGTCCGCGTTCCGGGCGTGGCACCCGGAGCAATCGAAGCTATGGCTCCAGTACCCAGAACTTTCGGCCTCTGAGCCCGGAGCGGACGGTATGTCTACGTAGCCCGTAACTTTTTTGTCAACTTTAGCCAACTTTAAGCCAACTTTTAAGCCAACTTTAGCATTATTCCAACATCGGAAGTAATAAAGCAATGGAATAGAGAATTTACAAGTGTCTGGAATTTTGAGAATTTCATGTTTAAGATGAAACTATTGAGTGAACTTAGCATGAGAATATCCTTGGTTTCTATAGAAACGGGGTTATGATCAAATTACCTAATCTGCTAAAATACGTATATTTAGATGAGAAATGCCGTCTGATGACATCACAAGACGGTAGATGTTATCCATTTTAGATATATTTTCTACAATTTTCTATATCAGAAAAATGACGAAAAATACTGCCAATGCAGCCCATTAAGCACTGACAGATTCAGCAATAAAGCATTTTCATTTCGTGCAAATTATCTATTCCTCTAACAATGTAGACCATGCGTTTATTTTATGAAACATTCCTGCGTTTAATCACATCATTGCTATTCCTCTAAAAATCACCAGCAAAATCGTGCATCCCAGGGCAAAATACAAACAGTAAAGAAAAGTAGTAACTCACGACTAAGTTACTGTTAGCAAGTGGTAAATATTGGTGAAATAGAGGGAATGATTTGATAATGGTTGGAGTACACATTTTAATTTTGACCTCAATCTAACTGTATAAATTAAATTAAATCTAAAGGAAAATTTCAGAGCAAAATGATACCTACTAACCGGCAGATGACTTGCTTGCCGCTTCAGTTGGGCGATGGTTGATGGATTGTACGCCATATTTGCGAATACCATTCTCTCCTCGTAGTCGTACTCGCAAAGGATTTTGTTCTCGCAGAGGTAAAACCTGTCGCCTACACAAAACCTGGAACACAAATTTAAAAGTCAGCCATTAAATTGCGGTTATATTAATTGGTAAAAAAAGGTGACTGTTAACTAACATAGATGTTTTCCCAATTACTTTTTCACCAAGAAAAAATAATCTTTAAAAATAATTTCAATTACGTGTGAAGTAATTGATAAAATTGTTGCAAGAATAAAAATAAAAAGAACCATCTTGTATAAACGTGTGTAGACTTGGGTCAAAATTATCAGTTCAATCGTGAATGAATCAACCCTGTCACGTCAAGTAAAGTTAGGAGCCCATAAATAAAGCTCCATAAACAGAGATCCTCAGCGTCGAACATGTAGAAGCCAGTATTCACTCAAGTTCTCAGCTCCCACGAACAGCAAGACTACCGCAAGATCGAATTTCTGTCGATTGATTATCGAATCTGTATCGATTTTTTATCTATGAACTTTATAGAGTAGTGATAGAACTATTTCGACCGGGGCATTCGATAAAGTTTCGATAGCCAACCAACGGATAATAAGACCGATTCCATCTCGTCCTCGATGACGCCCTGCAATCTCAGTCAAAGCTAAGGCGGCTCAACTTTGAAGAGCGGCGCATGTTCGCCCATCGAAGAGTCATAAGAGTGAGTTATGCATATCCATCCGCCCATCATCCACATTTACAGCTTTCAGCGCACATTAGCGGTAGCAGACTTTCTCGACAAATCCGCTGGAGAGCGCCACCAACACTCTTGCTATTAGTCAAATTCGGCTCCCGCTCCTTAGACTGCTGACAAGGTTGCCGCCTTGTGCACAGTGGCAGATCCAGGGTGAGTCGGATTGGGGGGGGGGGCTATTTGCTGGTGCCGACCTAATGGGGGGTCTGAGTGGACACCCCCTAGAGAAGGAGGATCCGAGGGCCCTCCACCGGAAAATTTAAAAGAAAAATTGATTGCACTAGTTTGCGCACGTTATACACTGCTCATAACTTGGGATAGTGTGGCTAGTCAGTTAGGTCTCGATACTCGAATCAAAATCCGATCAAAGCAGTAAGCTATTACTTTGACGACTGTGGGTCACCATGCAACATTCTTCTTAAATCAAAATTATTGGACGGGCCGTTCAAGTTTTATTAAAATGGAGTGCCATCATTCATAATATCTTGCTGCACGGAACATTTCTGGCATGATATCATTTGAGAGTAATGCGAAGCAACGAATTTAAGACTGATGACTCCCGTCACTTAGATGGGAATTAGTTCCGAATTTTGATCGTCTATCGAGGCCTGCCGGCGGATTGTTGAAATTGATAGACAAAGAAGACATAGGGAGTATGGAGTGATACTACTGGTTGAAATGGGCGGTTCTTATGGACTATACGGGGGTAAATGATGGTCTATATAACCATAGGGTCTCTCATGGGTTGCCGTTAGTAGTCTATTACCTACCTCCTTTGTCCATCGCAACCATACGCTTCAACTAACAGGATCCCTCCAAATCCTTTTTGTCTTCTTTGTCTATAGCTTTGCTATCAATTTCAATAATAGACCCGCTGCTGCAGCTAAATATCTTTCACATCCAGGAGACCTATAACATCTGAACGGTCTTAACATCACCATCAGGGAGTGGAATTTTCATTCCCCTCGATAAACTATCAAATTGACGTGGACAAATCTGGAGAATCCGGCAACGCGATCGCTGGTTGTAATTGTCAAAGTTTAATTAGGCGTAGGAATAAGTTAAATTGGTGAAGTTATCTTGGGCGAGTCAGTGTGAGGGCTCCCTGCCGGTCGGGACTGGGGGATTAAGAGCTGAGCCCGGGGTCTCCTCCTGTCGCGCTGAAAAGACAACTGCAGCTTAACTTAATGTCATTCACCGACAGTGTTATATCCTCGCATGCATTATCCTGTCCCGCCCTGGCCCGTTATCTGGCCCACATGCTTAAACAGGGTGACTTCCGTCCCGAGAAAGCAGCGCCATACAGCTCCGATTTGAGACCGCTTCAGTCCAGGGATGAGTATTGCCATGCTAAGGAAGAACGCCGTATGAACATTCTGTTTGCGAGTTGCAAAATTTCCCTTGATAAAACGTGAATTTTTGATGACATTCATGCATATTTTTCCTTGAAATGTGCAGATATTTTGGATTAAATTTCGTGCAAAATTGTCTAAACATTTTGGAGAAAAAATAGTCACAATTTACCCGATGAATTCGGTTTTTATTGAAGGAAACTTGGCAACATCTGACGGTTCATACGTCGTTTTTCTTTAGCATAGCAGTATAACCAACACATTTTGGTGAAAAAACTGAAGACTGAAGATATGCCGAATGGTTAATACGACATTATTAGGAATAGTTTTCAGACAAAATGTGTTGTTCGAAACGTCAACCCCACTCCATACGGCAAATAGAGGTGACTCAGCAATTTTCTCGGACATTTTCGTTATTTTTCCTGATTTTTCCAGGTTTTTAAAATTCCCTGACATTTCCCGGTATTCCCTAACTGTGGCAACCCTGAGTTTTTCCAATTATCCCTTCCTGAGTTTCGCTCTGGATCCGTCACCGGATCATCATTTCAAGACACGAGTGCGACAGATCCATAATGGGGAATTTTCACGCAAATGTTTTCTCGTTTCATCTAAAAGTGGTTACAGAGCTGATTTTCCGGTATTTTTTTTAAATTTTTTCCTAATATGGGAAACAGCATACAAATAGATTTAAAAATGAGAAAATGCACCGCCTAGTGACGCCATCTGGTGGCATTTCCCATTTAAACACATGTATTTTAGCAAATTAAGTTATCTTGTCATCCATATTTCCCCCTGTAATTTCTCAATTAGACGCATTTCTATCAAACGGAAATATGTGCATTAAGACATGAGCTCTGAGACTCATAAGAATACATGCATAACAGGGCTCACGACATAATGCACATAGTTCCGTTTGAGAGAAATACGTCCAATTTATGAACCAAGGGTATCCAAGTATTCAGATTACTTGGTAGTTTACATAGAAACACGGAATTCATAACATTTCAGACACCTGCAAATCCTCCATTGGATTCAATCGCACCGAATGGCAACATTGTGAGGAGCACTTGATCCGGAATCTGGGAATCTAAGTGAGCCTCAACACGGCGATTAGCGAGAGTGGCGCGTTAAGCGTTAAGCGTTGACTCGGATCGCGCCTCGGCGTCGGCGGCGTCATCGTCGTTTCTTTAATTCATTCAAGTCGAGGGCGGCTTAATGAAGAGTGAGCTCTGAAGGGTTGTCCCACTTCATCCCCGGGGGTGGGGGTTGTCGCCTCATATGCGACTCCAACTCCGCCTGAAACATGTTGACATTCGAGTCCCGGTCTCGAGGTGCTATGCTCACCCTCAGCTCTCTCAAAAAAGGCCCAGCTCATTTCTTCGTTTTTCAGACGGAAGCATCGAACTACGTCTCAATGTTGCAACATTTTCATTTTTTTTATTTTCATCGTTATTTTTATCAGGGAAGCTCTAATGGAGAATTTGCAAGTGTCTTGAATTTTGTGAATTTCATCTGTAAAATAATACTGCTAGGAAAACTAAGTGCGAGGATATCTTTGGTTTCTAAATTGGACAATTATTGGAGAAAATATGACTAAATAACCGAATATGGTAAAATACATGTGTTTTTGAATGGGAAATGCCGCCAGATGACGTCATAAAGCGGCAGGAAATCTATATATCTTCAATTTCCTATGTCAGAAAAAAATTATGAAAAATGCTGTGAACTCAGCTCATTAGGTACTCTGAGATGAAGTAATAAAACATATTTGCATGCAAATTCTCCATTGGAAATTTCACCGAATCTCCTTCTGATTACACGGAAAAATCGGCAAAATTTTAAAGAGAAAAATCTCCGTCATGCATTCTAACTCGATAATGTAAAATCACGGAAGGGAGCGTTCATAAATAACGTGACGTACTTTTTCGGCATTTTTGAACCCCCCTCCTCCACCCGTGTAACGCTTTTGTAACGTAGGTCCGTATCCATTAATACGTAAGGACAAAATGACGTAATGCTCTACTCGATCCCCCTCTCCCACTAGAGTGTTACTCAAATTTATGGACGGCCCCTAACGCATAACGCCTGTGACGCGAAGCGGTTCAGGGTGTAAACCGCGAAGTGGTCGGGGGGCGTATCCTCTAGTTGTATCAGTATAAACTTTTGGAAGACGCAAGTTTTGATTTTTCCTATTTTCATTACACTTCTGTTCTTGTCATCTATGCACGAATACTTGACTTGTGAGCAATGCGTTTATAACTTCGAATAATCTTTTAAGATAATCGTCCCGCACTATCGAGTCTGGGACTCAGCGCAGCACAATTTTTTTGACCCACTGACGTGTACTTTAGCGGGCATTAGGATCAGATGAAAAGAAAGACGGATAGTTACGGGAGGGGGAGGAGGGGGTTGCGCAAACAAGGCCGTAGAAAGAAATAACTGCAAAGTGCACGAATCCATGTCTAACATTTCTATACACTCGACTGTATTTCACCAGGACGTCTCGCTCTAGCGTGCCGGCACGCAAACATTAATTATCCTAATAATTCCATTAACTTTTTCTCGCAAACACCGCAACTCGGATGCGATATAAATTCACTTTCGCCTCGCTTTTATTCATTTAAGGAGAGCGCTCTTCTTGCATAACTCGTAGCCTCTCTGACGTAAGCGCGTATCTTGATTTTCGCATGAGCCCCAGATAGCATGGGTTTTTATGTAAAACAGGGCTCACGTGAAAATCGAGGTTAGCCCTTGCGCCAGAGGAGCGACGAACTGTGTGTTTAGCAAAGAAAACGCGAGATGTATCTCTCGGTTGCGGTCGTGAGCGGCTCAACATGTTGTGGATCTTGTGAGAGAAGGTAAAGCTCTCGGAGGATGAATGCAATTACTCAAAATCCGAAATGAGAACCGTCCCCTTTTAATCCGTTCGAATATTAAAATTTTCTTATAAGGGGGTGCCCTATACAATAAGAGTATAAACACTGTATAAAGTTTTCTGCGGG